TAAGTGTTTAGGGGCCCATTATCCTAGTCTACTTTTCTGTATGCTTGAAAGTTTTCATAATTCTTTTTACATAAACTAACCTTGCAAATATGTTTTTACATTAGCATTTATATGTAAATTACTAGTGTTTTATATAATACATATAACTATATTATTACTATAATGACCTTATATGAGTGACATAAGAAACAAGCGATGTATCAGAAAGTGAGGATGTGATGAAGGTTCTGTGACCGCATCCACCATCGGAAGAGCACTTCTCCGTGCCAAGGAGAGGCTCGAAGCTTCGCACACCCTGGGTCGGGGTGGGCACCATCCATGCACCCCCACTCTGTACGCAACAAAGCTGGATGTGAGGCAAGAAGCTGGGGGGCCAGGACCCTCCTCTAGGGGGCTCTAAATGCCATGTTTGTAACCACCATGCTGAGCCCACTGAAGGCTATCATTGTAAATGTCCAAAATCAATGTCCAAGTAAGACAGGCACACTTAGGCCAAGAATCTTACCTACACTTAGATATTTCTTAAGCATTGCTAAATGTGAGAGACCCCATGTCATGAAATTGGAAGAACACAAACAAGTCAACTTTTCACAATCCACCATCAAGCTTTTCCAACAAAATATTACCTAGCATTGCTTGGGTGATAGTGAGTGGCATGAAATTGCTTAAGCTGCTCCCACGTAAGCTCCGGGATGCACAGTGGGTCACCCCCAGAGACCACTGAGTATGTGTGGTCGGGAAGAAGTCTGTTTTGAAGGTGCTGGGAGAATATCCTCTCATTGTCTGTCTTGAAACATGAAATAAATAAATAAATAAATAAGAATATATACATGTAAAATAATACACACATGCTACATTACTTACGATATACACAATTGATCACATTCTGGTGCATATGCCTGTAATACTTTGCAAATAAAACTGTTCGAATGGTTAAAAAAAAAGACACCCCTGCAGCCATTGTTTAACACCGTATTCAATCACTCATCACCCATGCACAGGACCCAAGGATTGAGAACAATGGACTTTTTGATGTGTGTTGCAACAAGTGCATAGCCGAGGGCTGTAAATCGGAGGGATCACCAGGTCTGCCCACCAGCCAGGAGGGAAGTGGGGAGAAGCTCTCACCTCACCTTGAGTTTTAAGAAGACTCCTTGGAGGAAAAGACCACCAAATTGAGAATGAAAGGTAAGAAATAGTTCACCAGCTGAGGGGGGCTACGGGAATCAGAGAGCAGGCCACCCACGAGCCTCAGGGACACCAGCACAGGCAGGTTGTCAAAGTCACAAGGGGACATGACGACAGGGGCCCAGGACAGCAGCTCTTAATCCAAAATGGTCTCAAGACTCCTTTACACTCTGAAAAATTAACCCATTTATGCCTGAGGTTGCAATTTTTTTGGTAAAAATTCAGACCTTGGCAATGACCTTGAGCTGTAGGATATAAATAACTCCCACAAGCTTAGGATTCCAATAATGGAACACTAGGCATAAATGGGTTTTAATGAGGACCCAAGCAGCTTTTGATTATGTGGGCCTTTCTGCCTGTGTAGGTGCCTGTATGTGTTTATATAATTTTTCTATATTCTAAATTAAAGCTGAGACATTTAAAAAATACTTATGCATTAAGGTAAGCCATCATTACATGTTAATATAAATATGTTTGAAAAATATTTCTCATAACAAAGTAAAAAACTGACTACTTAGAGTGATGCTGTGTTGCCTTTTTTGCAAACCTCTGTAGTGTCTGGCTCAGAGGTGAAGCTGGACTCCCCCATCTGCTCTGTATCCAGCTCACTGCGTGTCACACACCTCGCCACGCAGCCTCTAGAAAGTACACCATGTACTTGGGCAAGAATGAGTGAAAAAGACAATGTGTTGATAGTGGTATGAAAAGAGCTTTCTCTCGCTGCAGATCATACACGGGGGTCATCAGATATGGTCTGAGACATGATCTGAGACAGCAGCCTGGCCCCACTACCCCCTGGCTTCTGCTCACAGCACTGACCCAGCTAATCCAAGAACATGTCACCTATAATGAGAATATTAAATAAAAATCAACCACCTTCCAGATGTGTCTGTATCATGGTACTGTACATGGGTAAGGTAAGCTGAACACAACATTAAAAAGAAAGAAAACTTACAAACGCTCCCTTCATCTCATTAAAGACGACTCCTTTAAAGACCAAGGGGGTCTGGGGGTCGCTAGGATTCTCGTGTTCCAGCCGCCATCCTTCCTGCCTGAGGACAAATAATTATAAGCTGACAGTGACTCAAATACTAAAGTCTGTATTAACTAGTTAATCACTCATGACATACCAGAAATCCAGCTCGCGTAAACATGGGAAAAAAGTGGCGTCCAAATACACCGAGAGGAGATTCTGAAAGTCCTTGGGATTTTGTGTGGAAAATGGATACAGAGTATAATCACTAGCTGGGTACAAATGAAAAGGGAAATTGTAAAATATAACAGATTTCCACTAAAATTAATGAATCTCAAGCCTCATTTCCCCTTTGTCCTAGGACAGTAAGTTGTAGCTATTCTTGAGATGGGGCAGTGGCTCCATGCTCTGGCCCCCGACCTCAGCCGCTGTCCCAGCTCATCACCCCGAGGGACGGCTTTCCCATCCCGGCTCAGGATCTGCACTCGATGGGCACCAGGGCTTTCTTCAGCGAACATCTGAACTCTCTCAAGTGTCTCCAGAGACTTTCATATGTCTACAAAGACGACTTCACTCGGTAAGAGCGTGGATTTAACCTGCTCTTCGATGTCACTCCTTCACAGAGTGCACTGTTCATCGTCACCCTCTCCACTAGTGTCAGTCTTACTAAAAGTCAAACATCAATGTTAGTGGTAACTCTGGAGGCCTGGCATTGTAGTGATATCCCCAAGAGAAAATTGTTTTCAACCTTTCTGGGAAAAGCTCACATACCTTTTATTAAAACACTAGTTTTTATAATCTCGCTACCATGTGGCTTTCCTGAAGGATGAAATTTCTAACGTCCTTCAACTAGAGAGGGGTAAAAATTATTCTAGAATATTAATTGCCCACTCCTCTCATCCCTTCTCAGAAACTAACTGAATTCCAGTAGGTGTGCCTGGCAAACCCAAACGCGGTTTCCGCTCAGGATGCTGGTCTTACCTGTGAAGGCGTTCATGAATGTGGAGAGGGACCGGTTCAACATTTTGAAGAAAGGGTCTCTGCACGGATATTTCCGAGACCCACAAAGGACGGTATGCTCAAGAATGTGAGGAACACCAGTACTGTCCATGGGAGTGGTGCGGAACTGCACGCTAGGGAAGAAGGAACAGCACGCTAGGGAAGGGGGAGGAACAGGAATGGAAGGCCAGGGAAGGGGAACGGAATGGAACCCTGGGGAAGGAGAATGACTAGAATGCAGAACGTTCATCTTAGTACTGTGGACACAGTTCCCAGACGCATCATCACCTCAGGCTACTAGAAATCATCATTCCGACACCACAATCCTCCGACACAGGGTTTCCCAACTCTAATGTAAATCACTGATTCAGACTATAAAATTGTATTTGGATGAGATTTTAAGTCCATGTAAGCTTCTCCTTATTTTTCAAGATGCTCTATCACGTGGCCGGGCGCGGTGGCTCAAGCCTGTAATCCCAGCACTTTGGGACGCCGAGGCGGGCAGATCACGAGGTCAGGAGATGTGTGTGTAACTTGTTGTTTGTGAACTCATCTTCTTTACTATTTGTTAAAACTAGCAGGCAGTTGTGTGTGGGGCCTGTTAGTTGTTCTTCTGTGGTTGGTTTTAGGCAGAGAATTAGGTAAACTGGCAGGGCGGGCCAAGCCGGGGTGGTATCCAGTGTTCTCTGGTTGTCAACTTGTGTTGGTTGTGTTTTAAGATAAAAAAAAAAAAAAAAAAAAAAGATGCTCTGTCAATAAATTAGTGGAATGTTTACCACGTACATGTAGTTATGTCATGGTTTCAAGCTTGTCTTTTCCCATTTGCCTGCTGAGTTTGTTTTAGCTCAGGACGGTTTGTGTGTTGTGTTACACAATTCCTATTTTCTTTGTGTATTTTGTTCTTAATCTTTGTCTTAGTGTTAGTGTATTTTGTGTGTGGCCTAAGACAGTTGCTGTTCTTCCAATGTGGCACAGGGAAGCCAAAAGATTGGACATCCCTGATTTAAATAAAACGTTCAAGACCATGTTCTTACAATGCACCACGTACCTGAACAGATTATTCGTGTCTTCTCTGGCCAGGTGTAAATACCTGGCTCCTGTGTCATCGTGGCTGAGCTTCACTGCCGTCAGGAACAGCTCGGGAACAGATGTCACCTGAGTTAACAAGAAAAACACGACCAGTTAAACAAAATGGCCTTTGAAATGGTGATCTTCGACACACTGAGAAAACTGGCTTTTCTGCCTGAAATTAGATGATGCCGGGAAGCCAGGATTTCAGAGCTGGAGAGAACAGAACCATCCTGTCCAAGTCCCTTATCCTACAAACAAGGAAAGTAAGACCTAAAAAAGGCAGATGAGAACGTGTGTGTGTGTATATATATATATTTTGAGTGCTTATTACTGGCTAGGTATTTTCTGTTTTTTAATTTTTTAATTTTTTTTTTTTTTTGGCTAGACATTTTCTAATCATGTCACATATACTCCTGTGAGGGAGGTATTCTCATCCTCATTTACGGATGAAAAAACTGAGGCTCAGAGTGATGACATAAGCTGCTCAAATCAGAGCCAGGATTCACCCTGGTGTCTGCCCTTCCCACGGTACTGAGCTGCACCGAAGTAACATAGCACCCTTTCCAACGTCTGCTGAGTGCCCCCTGCTTTTGTGTACTACACCTCAGTAACACAGCACCCCTTCCAACATCGGCTGTGTGCCTCCTGTTTCTGTGCATATAATCTCCTGTAGTGCGCAGAACCGGCCTGCAGGGAGGGGAAATGCTGGAGTGGGCTAGCTGGCGACAGTGGGGAGAGGCTCCAGGATCAGTCTTTGCTTCTCCTAGTGTGGGATGGATTCTCGGTGGTAGCTGGAAGCACAAAGCTGGGGCTTCCAGAACAGCTGGAGGGGCCAGGAGGCTAGAAATGCCCCCAAAAAAGCTGAAAGACTCCCCACTTCTGAGCGGGGTGGAAGATCTTCTCCTACTTTAGGTAAGCCTCCTGTTAAGTGTCCATACTTCTCGGTATGAAAGAAACTGTCTTCTCTTTCAGTCATGCCAGCCGGCCCTCTTCTGCAATCACATACCACGTCCCTGTGATCACACCACTTGCCACCCCCTCCGTCCAGGTGCCATGAGTCACCTGACCAAGCACACACAGCAAGTCCGCTGGCAGAGGTGAGACCTCAGGTCTCCTCAGCCCAATCTAGGGAGCCTGCCATCCAACAGTTATGCATAAGCGGCCCACTATGACCTGCATCACCTACCGCTGTTAAATTACTTGTTTCCAAGCTTACTGTACTTTGTAACAGACGATCAATGCATTTAAAATCAGCAGATACAGTGAGATGTCTGCTTTCTAACAATATATAGCTTTAATAATAATAGCGTTCATGGTAGCTATTTCTCAAACAAGAAACATGACTTATCGTAAGTTTCTACGGCTGGACACAGTGGCTCACACCTTTAATCCCAGCACTTTGGAAAGCCAAGGTGATATGGTTTGGCTGCGTCCCCACCCAAATCTCATCTTGAATTGTAGTTCCCATAATCCCCACATGTTGTGGGAGGGACCTGGTAGGAGGTGATTGAATCATGAGAGCGGTTCCCCCCATGTTATTCTTGTGACAGTGAGTACGCTCTTACGAGATCTGACGGTTTTATAAGGGGCTTCCCCCTTCACTTGTCATTCTCTTCCCTGCCACACTGTGAAGAGGTCCTTCCACCACGATTGTAAGTTTCCTGAGGCCTCCCCAGCCATGCAGAACTGGGAGTCAATTAAACCTCTTTACTTTTTAGCTCATTCTTTATAAATTACCCGTCTTGGGTATTTCTTCACAGCAGTGTGAGATTAGACTAATACACAAGACAAGAGGATTGCTTGAACCCAGGAGTTTGAGACCAGCCTAGACAACAAAGCAAGTTTCCATCTACACCTACACACACACACACACACACACACACACACACACACAAAATGAGCCAGGCGTGGGGGCACCTTGTCCCAGTTACTTGGGAGACTGAGGTGAGAGAATCGATTGAGCCCAGCGGTTTGAGGCTGCAGTGAGCCAAGATCACGCCACCGCACTCCAGCCTGGGTGATAGGGTGAGTCCCAGTCTCAAAAATAAGTACATTTCTATAAAATTTGAAAAATAAAGGAGAAGAATCTACCACTCTGGGTGAGGCCCTTATTAATGGTCACCAGTACTATAAACCCAGGTGTCTTTGCCCGGCCTTTGCAGGATTTCACAAATGCACTGAGTCTGTTGTCAGGACTCCCATGCCTGGACCTTGCCTGGGACCCCCTAGTCACTGCCCTGGCTCCCTTGCTGGAGCCCTGCCCAGAGGCAGCTGCTTTCTCACACCACCCTCTCCAGGAGCTCTTCCCTCTCCCCCCAGCAGCAGCTCCCACTCCTCCCGCCCTTGTCCTTGGCCCTCCGAATGGCATTCACCATGTGCCTCCAGTCACAGCCACATCTGTCTCTCTAGATGGTAAGTTGTCTTTTACATTTGCTACAACATCAAGCATAGCACAGAGCCAACAGTTGGCCAAATACGTTAAGTGTTGTCATTTTTAGTCACTATGCTAAAAAAAAATGGAAAAGGTTTACGCAAATAACAAAACAAAAAACAAATGAATCCATTTTAATATAAACCCAAGTAAGTATAAGTCCACAATTTCTTCTTTATAATTCTGAAACCCAAAAGGCTCAGAAAACTGAAAGATTCTGCAGAAGTTTAGAGCAAACTATTTGATGGCAAAACCTGACTGAACAGATCACGCACTGAGTCTTCGTGCTCACACTCAGCGAATCATCAGGTTTGGCTGCAGAAACCCTAGTGTGTCTGATGACAGAGACCCAGCTGGAAGTGTTACTCTCACACAACGAAGCCAGGCGTGGGCACCTTGTCCCAGTTTACTTGGTGAGAGGATCGCCTTGAGCCCAGCAGTTTGAGGCTGCAGTGAGCCCAGATCATCCCACTGCAACTCCAGCCTGGGCGACAGGGTGATCTCAGTCTCAAAAATAGTACATTTCTAATAAAATTTGGAAAATAAAGAGTGAGTTATAGTACTGGTTACTATTAATAAGGGCCATCACCCAGAGTGAGGTGTCTTTGCCCGGCCTTTTGCAGGATTTCACAATGCACTGAGTCTGTTGTCAGGACTCCATGCCTGGACCTTGCCTGGGACCTCCTAGTCCACTGCCTGGTTCCCTTGCCTGGAGCCCTGCCCAGAGGCAAGGCTGCTCTCACACCACCTTTCCAGCCCTTCCTCTCCCCCCAGCAGCAGCAGCTCCCGCCCTTGTCCTTGGCCTCCGCATGGCGTCCCCATGTTCCTCCAGTTACAGCTTATCAGTCTTTCTAGATGGTAAGTTTTTTTTCTTTAATTTGCTACAACCATCAAAGCATAGCACAGAGCCAACACAGCTGGCCAAATATGTGAAGTGTTGTCATTTTTAGTTACTATGCTAAAAAAAAAAAAAAGGAAAAAGATTTAAGCAAATAACAAAACAAAAATGAATCCATTTTAATATAAACCAAGTAAGGTATAGGTCCACAATTTCTTCTTTATAATTTTGAAACCCAAAAGGCTCAGAAAACTGAAAGATTCTGCAGAAGTTTAGAGCAAACTATTTGATGGCAAAACCTGACCCGAACAGATCAGGGGCACTGAGTCTTCATGCTCACTCATCAGGTTTGGCTGCAGAACCCCTAGTGTGTCTGATGACAGAGACCCAGCTGGAAGTGTTACTCTCTCAAATCTGACAAGAATCAGGCTTCGTGGGATTCCAGGAAGGGACCGGGGTCATTTCTCTCAAAGCTGTTCCAGCCGAGTAGCCATCATGCAACAGGAGCTGGCCCAGGGCCTTGGGACACCGAGGACAAGGCTAGTCTCCACCCTGAAGGGCCCGTACCTATGCCAGAAGCCACACCCTGCAATGTGTGTGGATTTATCAGAGGAGGTGCCGAGAAGGACCCATACCTGGTTTACGGTGAATCCGTGGATCTGTCTCCCCTAGTTGCTACTCTGGACCCTTCTCGGCACCTCCTGATAAATCCACACACATTGCAGGTGTGGCTTTCTGGCCATAGGTACGGCCCTTCAGGGTGGAGAGCCTAGCCTCTCCAGTCCTCGTGTCCCAAGGCCCTGGCCCAGCTCCTGTTGCCATGATGGCTACTCCGGCTGAACAGAGCCTGTGAGAGAAAATGAAAACCCCCGGTCCCTGTCCTTGGATCCCACGAAGCCTGATTCTGTCAGATTCGAG